TACGCACCATCATATAACTGGATGGCGGTGATCAGGGACATGATGGGACAGTATGAAAAATATATATTTTTATATTTTTTTTTTTTTTTTAAAATTTTTTTTTTTTTTTCACTATGACCAAAGTGTCAAAGTTCCTGTAACATGTCTCTTTGGGGAAGTGATCAGTTTTTTTATTTTTTATTTTTTTTTCCAATTTTTTTTAGCAAAGAATTCTTTGTATAAGCAAGCATTTACCTGAATGACATGATTCTTCAGGGTTTTTTTTTTTTTTTTGTGCTTTTTTTTTTGCTTAGCTGGTTGGCCACAGTAAAACATGCATGTGCATTGATTAGTGTGCCTTCCAGCTAGACATAGTATACAATGGTGGATGAATGAAGATCCCTTGTATAAATGTATATGACCCGTGTGATTGGTTTTTCAGCAGGTCACAAGGTACCGGCAAAAGGGGCCCGGTACTGATTTTCCCAAAAAAATGCAAAATTTACTTTGTGACACTGAGCAAAAGTCCAGTCCTTTTTTCCCTTTGCCCCGGGAGGCTCTTCTGACATTATATGGTTTAGGAGTGGCTTTACACAAGGGGAAAGCAAAGTTTTAGCCCAAAGTCTTTTTCATTGTGTGTGGTGGTCTTGGAAACACTGTCACCAAATGTAGTCACTCCTGAATGGCAGATGAGTTTCCATTTATACAATGTCATGGACTGCTGTGATTGGTACAGGGTACTTTTGGGACCGGAAAAGGGGCCCCTACTAGATCTGTCATGGCCGTGTCCAAGGTCACGGCTGGGACAGATGCGTGCTCACGGCTCTGCAGGCGCACAAATGTGCATGCCCCAAAGAAGCCTATGGCATCCCCCGGGAAAAAGGGAAGGGTTTTTTCCGCCGCCATTCAGCTAGGCCCGGGGGAAGAGGTTAAAAGTACGCAATTTTTTTGATTCTTTTTTTAGTCTCCATTCCCCTGGGCATTTTTGGGATTGAGCAGAATCCTGTATTTTGCCCACGATCTCAAAATGCACTGCAATGGGCAAAAGGCGGGTTTCATCTGCTATTATTTTTTAGTGGCACCTAAAACCGGTGTGGTTTTGCTGTGGTTTGTCCCCCCCCCGTAGCAATACTGTTTGAAGTTTGCCACCCCAAAAAGAAGCCCCTGACTTTTTTTTTAGGAAACAAGTTTTAAACGTGATGCATTTTAGGGGGCCTTTGAAAATAATTTGGGACCCCAACCTGCATTTGTGACTGTAGTGCATTTTTAGGGTTTCGGGGGATATTCTGCCGCGATCCCCAAAAAACCCATAAGTGAATGGGCCTAAACAGTTTAAATTGCCTTTTTTCAGGTTTATTTGACTTTTGGGGGTTGGGGTTTTTGGTAAGGGGACTTTTTTTTCATGGAAAGGGGCTTTCTTTAAATAATAAAAGGGTACCGATGTTCCACTGATCATAGTGTTTTTTTCCCGTTTTTGGGTTGTTCCGTTTTTATGGGTTTAGATTTGAGAAAAAGTCAGTGTGAGGATGGACTGCAGCACAGAAATGTCAACTGTTCTTTTGGGTGTCTTTTTTGGCTGTTCATTGCGTGCAGGCCTTGCGCCCCTCTTATAAAGAACCTGACGGTGATTGTTTTTCAGAGGTGTTTGACAGGTGGCGAGTCCCATATGGGAAGAAAAATATATTTGAAATATTTGGAATATTTTGAATTTGCTTTCAAAAATATGCCTTATATTTGAAATGCTACAATTTTTGGCTATATTCTATATATATATATATATATATATATAATATATATATATATTTCACCACACACACATACATATATACACACACTGCACGTTGAAATGCGTTTTTATTGCAAAATATATGAAAAATATTTTTAAAGGTACATTTCAAATGTACTATATGTCTTTAAAAATACAAATCTAATTTTTGGAATGCATTTGCAAATGTTTGTAATAAAATATGTTCAAAATGACTGTTAAAAACATATGAAGGATATATTCCTTAATAACATATTTTACTTTTAAAAAATATTATGTATTTATTAAAAATATATTATCTCAGATTTTTTTAACATGTAAAAAAGTATTTTTAAATTATATGTTTAACACTTATTTGTAAATGCATTCCAGAAATGTAGAGTTGTATTTTTAAAGACTTACAGTTAAACTGATAATTTTATTTTTAAAATATTTTTCATTATATTTTGTAATAAACACATTTCAACATGCAATATATATGTTTAGATAAGTGTTTGGGGCCATTATAAAAACACCTGCCTCATCCACTGGCTTTTACCTCCCCTACTGTATGTCAGCCATATGAACGAGCTTTCTATAGAGGGATGTGAAGTTCTGATGAATTGTAATAGAACTGCGTGGGACAAACATTGGTAGCTAGCGTTGACTGTCTTCCATCAAGGAGAAGCGTGGAAATTACAGCTAAATCATACATTTTATTTTCAGATGAATACTCTGAAAAATCATACCATGGCTGACAGAGACATTGAGCTCTCTTACAAGCTGCCTATTAGGAAAATAAAAAGCCATCTTAATGTGGAATCAAACATAGAGTGAAGGTGTCTTATTGCTCTAAATTGGCCTGGAAACTGCAGTGCAAAGCAAACTCAGTCATTTCACTGGTAGAGCCCTCACTGCACTGTTGTATGGCGTTTTTTGTAGGCTATATTTTATGAGCATGAAGGGCTCAATTCACGCAGTTAGATTAGTGTATAATTTTATATGCGTGTAAAGCCAGCAGTATAAGAATGAATGGGGTCATTACACACAGGTGGTCTACAAGGATAACGGCACAGCAATTTTACGATGTATAAAAAAAGTAAACAAAAGCTGCATCCAGGGCCACACATATCTGCCAATGCCTCATGTTGGACATGATAAGCACGCACGCAAAAACAAGGAAATGTTGCTTACGTGAGAGCTATGAAAATGTGGAATAGACTCCCTCAAGAGTTGGGTTCTGGCTGCTCAGTGGTAGTGCTTTAAAAACGTCCTGGATCCTTTCTTGGTTAAAAAGAATATAAATGGATACTTAACATTGATAGGTAAAGTTGATCCACGGGAATATCAGATTGCTTCAGGGGATCAGGAAGGAATTTTCCCCTGCCAGGAGCAAATTGGATCATGCTTTGCTGGGTTTTTTTTGCCTTCTTCTGGATACAATTGTGAGCATTGGTTATAACTTTGTTTTTTTTTTTTTTTTTACTGGTTGAACTGGAGGGACTTTTGTCTTTTTTCAGCCTGACTAAATATTATGTATCTATTGCATCAAGGTCATAAGAATTTATTTCTTCATGTCTTAATCACTGTACCCATCTAAACAACAATAAAATGTGTCTAAATGTGAGTATTTTAGGTGCATTATTTTAAAGAAGTCTCCTGTATAAACTGCTTTATGTGCGAGAAAATTTGCATATGCCCACTGTGTGAATAAGCGCAGGGTTATTTACAAACAAGGGCAACAAGGCATTTGCCTAGGGCAGAATTTATCGGGGGCAAAAGCACCTCCCACAGCAGTAGGGATGGAAGATGAGACACACTTGCTATGGACAGGGGGATCGAGGGAGGCTGTGGACTGCTTGATGGTGTATGCAGAGTTCTGACTCTCATTCTGGGGATGTCTGGAGCTGTGGTGTGAAGGTGAGTGTCTCTATGTTGCCGGGGGTGGTAGTGGAAGGCTCTCAGGGTGGGAGGCAGTGGGTGTTGTTGGTCAATGTTAGGCTCTTCTATGGAGGGGAAGGGGTGGTGTGGTCGGGGTCAATTGGGGGCAGTTGATTTTTGTGTTGCCTTAGGTCAGCACAAAACATAAATTACACCACTGAATAAAGCCTTAGGGATGGCCATAGATGATGTCCTTTTTCTTTACTTCAACATTTGCTGAAAAAAGAAAATGAAGTGATTTCCCCCTCAGCTCACGTCTGTGTTTGATGGGGGGTATCCCGGCGCTTGTATTCTGTCGGAGGTATAGCTGCTGGTAGTGGGTGTATGAAATAAACTCGATGGCTGGTTGTACTGAAGTCAGTCGTTGCAGGGGCGGACTACCAGACTCATGGTCCCCCGGGCCAATAGGGAATCTGGGGCCCCTGTGTCTTGCCCAAACTCAAAAAAGTATGAAAAAGGTTCCAGGGGCATTCTCTTGGGGGCCCGCTACTGTCCGTCAAGCCCTCGGGCAGTGCCCAACCATTGTCCAAATGGTCAGTCCGCCCTGGGTCGATAGTAGACTTAAGCATACACCAGCGTTGCCCATAGATGGGATCGAAATTTGTCCGGTTCCTGATGGACTGGTCTGAATTTCACTCCATCTATGGCCGTCTTTAGGCCTTAAGTCTATCATGGTTACATATCTGTACAGAGTGCGAAGGTTTTCTGACAGCATGGGATAACCAACATGTAGTTCAGGAAGTCCTTTATGTCTGATTAGGATGAAGGGGTGACAGACACAGCCGCTATGACCCACACCCACATTGCTGGCAAAGTGGACAAGCGGCTGTGTCTGTCGAGCCGCTGCATACCTAATAAATGAAATGCCTGCATGGGACAAAATCATGGAGAAATTTGGATGTATGGAGAGGTGTGAAGTATGTGTGTTTTTTTGTTTGGTCAGACATAACATTTCTTTTTAAACCTCTTCTTGCCAGACTACAGCGCAATCTACTGCGGACAGTTGGTCCGCTGTAGGCAAGCAAAGTGGCATGCGGGTAACGGTGCTGCTACTTCCAGGTTTAGGTGCTGTGCACCGGCCACCCCACAGGGGGCTGTCATTGTACACAACGGGATTCCTGACAATGTCCCGGCTATAATTTATGGCCGGGTCTGCTTATCGGCTGTGTCCTAATCTCACTGCCCAGAGCTCTGTATTTGCAAATATCCACACAGCTCCATACAGAGGGAGCGGATCTGTAAGTGTTTCTTTCCTGCAAAGTAGGGATGAGAAAGTCAAAGGCACATATTTAATCCCTTGATCGGTCCTAGATGTTATAACCCCTTCCAAGCCAGTGTCTTTGTACAGTATTCCAGTGTATTGTATTAGCATGATCACGGGTAATAATGTCATTGGTGATGATCTATGCGATCACTGCGGAAGTGGGAGTTGGGTAAATGTCAAAATTCGGGTACCCTCTCCCAAAGGGTCTGCAAGTCTCCGGTCATCTCGTTTGTAACTGTGTCCGCAATCTACGGTCATCTCGTTTGTACTGTGGTCCGCAGTTCTCCGGTCATCCCCTGTACTGTAGTCCGCAGTTCTCCGGTCATCCCCCTGTACTGTGTCCGCAGTCTACGGTCATCCCTGTACTGTGTCCGCAGGTCTCCGGTCATCCCCTGTACTGGGTCGCAGTTATGCCGGTCCTCCCTGTACTGTGTCCGCAGTCTCCGGTCATCACCTGTTACTGTGTCCGCAGTCTCCGGTATCCCCTGTACTGTGTCCGCAGTCTGCCGGTCATCCCTGTCTGTGTCCGCAGTCTACGTGTCATCCCCTGTACTGTGTCAGCAGTCTCCGGTCATCCCCTGTACTATGTTGCAGTCTCTGGTCATCTCCTTACTGGGTCCGCAGTCTCTGGTCATCTCCTGTACTGTGTCCGCAGTCTTGGTCATCTCCTGTACTATGTCCGCAGTCTCTGGTCATCCCTGTACTGTGTCCGCAGTTCTCGGTCATCCCCTGTACTGTGTCCGCAGTCTACGGTCATCCCTGTACTGTGTCTAGCAGTCTCCGGTCATCTCCTGTTACTGTGTCCCGCAGTTTCCTGTCATCTCTGTACTGTGTCCGCGGTCTCTGGTTCATATCCTGTACTGTGGTCGCAGGTCTTGGTCATCTCCTGTTACTGTGTCCGCAGTCTCTGGCTCCATCTCCGTACTATGTCCGCAGTCTTGGTTCAATCTCTGTACTGTGTGCGCAGTCGCTGGTCATTATCCTGTACTGTGTCGCAGTCTATGGTCATCTCTGTACTATGTTTACAGTCCTTGGGTTGCAGAATATTTGTTTTTTCTTGTTTTCCTTCCTCCTAAAAGCTAGGTGCATTCATTTTTATGGTAGGGTATGCATCTTATGGAGCAAAAGATGGTACACCATCGAATGTAGGCACTATAACCTTCTAACATACCAATCATATACACTTACAGTATTGGGATTTTTATTTTTTAATCAAAGACTTGTAGAGAATACATGTTGGCCTAAAATTTATGCGAAAGTTCTTTTTTTTTTTACAGTTTTAAGCAGATGTTATAAAATTTTTTTTTTTTTTTCGTTTTCTAAAATTTTTTTGTCTTTTTTTTGTTTATATCACAAAAATAAAAAAAACAGTGATAATGAAATACCAACCAAAAGAAGGCTCAATTTGGTGAAAAATTATATTACATAGGCAGTGCGGTATAGCAAAAAAATGGCATGGTCATGATGGGGGTACCTTCAGTCTCCTGAAGTGGTTAAAGCAGAACTAAAGCAGTAAGGGCTCTTGTGGTAGTGTACAAGCAGTAACAGGGCAGACTTACTTATAGTCTAGGTTCACACCTATTTGTTTTCCGGCTGCGTTTTTCGGAAATGCATCAGCAGTCCATTTAACTTGGGGGATTTCCTATGGGACATGATCACACCTCCGGCAAATTACCCAGTGCGTTTTTTGAAAGGGTTGAGCCTGAGTTCAAACTGATGCGTGTGGCATATCGCATGTGATTCGCACCGAATTCCTGTGCAAAATAACACGTGATTTCTGTGCGGTGCTATTTAAAAGCCATACAAATCGCACCGCATCTGCACCAAAATGGTGAAAGACACTTTTTTTTGGCTACATCGAATCGGATCGCATGGAGTGTTCACACCCATGAGATTCTATTCTGCAATCGCACCGCGTTTGCAAACTGATTTTGTTGTTAACTTAACAGACACACCTGCAGTGGTTCGTTTACGAACGGGGTGCGATTGTGATGCGGTGTGGATTTCGCACGCAGAAACCGGTGTGCATGCTGCATCATATCTGTGTGAAACCCAGGCTCAAGCTTTTTTAAATGTAAAATGTTGGTTTTGGTTCTATAGACTTCACGGGGATGCTGCAGAAAAGCAATGTTAGTGCATTTTTGATGCATTTTGCATCTTAATCTGCCTAGAAAAAAGTAAACAAAAAGCAAAACGCATCATAAACACAAGTGCAAAAATTCAAATACGCACTGCAGAAATGGATCATTGCAACACTCCATTTAGGTGTGAACCTAGCCTTACACAATTCCCTCATCAGGCAATACAATGTTTGGGGGCTCCCTGTATGACTCAAGAGCTGCTGCTTCCATTTGTTTTGCAGTTTTTTTCCAGGTCTGGGAAGTGCCAGGTCTTGTATGGCCAGCAGGGAAGATGCGACACTAATGCATGTGGATGGTACTTCTTTGTTCCAGTCACCCCAGTGCACACCAAGATTGTACAGAGTTTGGCATTTGACAGCTCAGTGTACAATTTGAAAACTTAAAAATGCTAGGAGGCAGTTTGAAAGTAGCATTTATGGCAGAAGAGACTTGCAGAGTTGGTACTGCAATAAAAAAGCTACCTGAATCTTTGCCAATAGTTACTAAAGCAAAAACGTCACCTGAAGGTCTCCATGCACAGGAGGTTTTGTTACGCTGTGGTAAACTTAGCTGTATAAAGTCACGTTAAAAACGTGAGTTTTTCGGCTTTTTTTTAACTTTTTTTGCATTAGCATTAAGCAGCGTTTAGTCACAATTAGCGGCTTTTGCGCGTGTTTATCAGCGTTTGCAGTTTTAGTGTTTTGTTTCACCACAAAAAAACTATTTTTTGGGGTCAAAAAAGTCCCAAAACGTCGGTTTGCGATGTTTTACCATGTTTGAGCACGTTTTTTCAGCGAGTTAGATAGAGGGTGTTTACAGCTAAAAAATTTCTTAGAAACCCACTAGTCCTAGGTTTTTTTTTCCAGACAAATAAGGTCCAGACAAAAACTGTTGATTACAGTCTATGTGTGCATGGACAAATAGGATAACTGCTGGGAGTTTACTGCCTGTAGAAAAAACGTCAACAGCGGTTTATCGCAATATAAATACCCCAAAAGGCACTGTTTAGATCCAGAATTTTAAATTAGTTTGAAACACTAAATTAAGGGTAATTACTCCAACACCTCCCAATTCCTATCGAAGTTTGGACATCTCCACAACATATGTATCAGTTGCCTGTGGTCCCACTTGCCATCTGACACAAGGATGTCCTGTCGTTGCCCCATTCTTATACAACTTTGCCATAGGTGTTAATGAACCCGAAGTAAAATATAAGTTGAGAAATGCGATGGGGGAAACGTCAATGAAACTAACGATGTACTGATCTGCAATGGCAGCCTCCCCCACTGATCATCCTCAAAAGTCCCAAATCTCGTTCCCATTGCCCATCGGCCTACTGGGTATTTTTCCAAGTAATCTGTTCAAAAGGAATGTGCTATAACAATTAGAAATAAGCCCGGCTTGGTCTCCGTAGCAGATTGTAAGTAGTTAAAAATTGGGGTAGAAGTAGGGGTGCAAAAGGGCCGACAGGCCCTGAGCCGTAACTGCATGTTTTAGCTGCCAAATAGTAAGATAGCATAGTGGATGGTAGGTTATACCTGGACTGAAGACATCAAAGGAGATAAGTGACCAATTTGTAAAATATATGCTTCAATGAGTGATACCCTAGGACATTCCATTTTAAGACACATATTGTAATTTGGCAATTGATGGTAGTGTCACATTGTTCCATATGGGACTATAGAACCATATGGCGATAATCTGTTGCAAATCGTTAATCTTAAACCAAAATTTTGCATTAGGCGATATGTAGGGAAGGTTTTACTTAAGTTTACAAATGATTGAGGCTCAAGTCCCTCAGGCTAAGAGCAAAGGCGTGGCAGTGCAAACATCACCTTGAGGGTAGAGTCATAAATGGGTGCCGTCCGTCAAAAAACCTTCCTGACAATTCCTTTATAAAATGCTGCAGCTGACTAGCCAAGGTAATACAACATGGGTTAGGTTACGCTATCCCCTTCTGTCCTCAGGACACTGCAATTGTTCCAGCCTAAGCCTAGGTGACCGACCATCCCCAATGTAATGAACGGAAAAATGGTATTACAGTATTAATTGCAATAAGTTTTCAACAGAATCATGACTGAGGATTTATGAAGAACGT